AACGCCCTTCAGAAAGAATTTTGAAATTGTTGATGAGGGTCGCTCTGGGCCCAAGGACGGTTCTTGGGAAATTCATGCTAGAACGGTGTTAAAAGTACTGAAAGGTACTAATATGATACCCAGTAGAGCTAGAACTCTTAAATTTGGAATAAAGGTCACTGATGGAATGTAGGGCTTATGGAAGTTTGCGAAAAGTACCAAAACGTACTATATTTGGTACTATTTTGCATCATGTGAACGGTTAGATCTAAAAACTTGGAATTTAGAATGGAAATCAAGGTTGAGGAGTAGGGTCGATGTAAGGAAGTAGTTTTGAAAGTATATACTCATGAAAATGTTCAAGTTCCATCCAAATGGTGCAGGGTATTAAAAGTTTGGCCCAGCCGAACTTAGCAGCTTTTTTACATGTTTCTGTTTCATTCGATTTGACATCTAAGCCCAACCAAGTTGTAATATGCACTCTACTATAATACTACTTGGTACAAGATATCGGAAACACTTTAGAAATGACTTTGGCAAATTTATTCGAGATCGGTTCAGATTGAAATATAGCTTTCTTGTATTTTTATCTCTAATTGATCCGTTTGTCCTGAATTTCGTATCATATTATCACCTTTTGATTGGAATTAAGTCTGCCAAATTTTAATGAAATCGGTTCAGATATACCTTAAATTCCGATGTATATGTTTTACCACAAAGTTATATCTGACCTAGTCAATGCGATTGGGTACGTTAGGTCCCATACCCATCGTACCCTTCCGGCTTTAGCCTTTTCCTTGCAGGTTTCTCTGAGGGAATTCTCCAAGTATATTTTTTGTTCACAAGGAAAAATAAGGCTCACCCAAATGCTCCTATATAAAAACATGTAGCATCAATGTTCGACATTTTTAAATTCCAAACCTGCATTTTAATATATATTTTTGTAATTATATTTGAGCATTTAATTAATTCCTTTTATGTTATTTTTCTCTTTTTTTTTCAGGTGAGTACACTCAATATTGGAGTATATATGTAGCAACAGACCGCAAGTATTACATATCTATAACGAATTTTAAAATGATTTTATTTATTAAAAAACATCAAAGATACTTGTCGGATGATTACGTACAATGTCAATGCTCCCTCTCTAAAAAATAGAACTTTCAGCAAAGACAATTTTGAGAATGTACACTGAAATGGCGATTTATCGATTTATGCTTTTCTAAACAGACCTGGAAGTTAACTTTAACTTGGAATTTCTATAACAAAAGTATCTATGCTTCCGTATTTATTTATAATCCTTCCTTTTTACACCCAAATAGTTTGCTGGGTTCATTTCCACCATGTTCTCTATTTCTGTGCAATAGAAAGAATTTCTTGGAATTTAATTAACATACCAAGACATATTCTAATGGGCCTCCATAACTATAATTTCTCTTGTCATGATTTCGCTTTTATTATCTTCCGGAGAAGAAGGCGAAAGGATCGGATCATAAAAATCATCACTGCCACAAAAAATTTACGTCTGGGGTTTACCAGACAGAGGCTGCCATCAGATGATCCTCTTTCAAGTTGAGGCAGTCAATAAACCCATATTCCCTACGCCATCAAAAAAGGCGACGATGGTCAATAATTACAAGATGCTAACATGGTCAAAAGAAATTTAAAGGGAGAATAAACGTAACAACAACAAAAATACCCACAAACCCTAAAACTCCAAACTACAGATTTTTATGACCGACTTCTATTAGATGATGGCCATAAATGAGGAGAAGTAAACAAAAAATCCCCCTCCGCCAATGCAGCCAAGGAGAAGCAATTCGTTTTGCGTTTTTTTTTTTTTCTTTTTTTGTTGTATTTTCTTCATCATCATCTGTGTGTAATGAGAGACTCGAGGCATTTTATTTTTCATAACTTTTATGTTGGGCTAAGCTCGTGCTTAGCTTCAATTTGAAAGCTTTTTATGAGGTGCTTAAAATATCATTATTGTTGTTCATATGGTTTGGTGTTTTGTTTTCTGCGTTTTGTGTGCATTTAACAATCGTCGTTGCCCCAACAGACAAAAGAAATAGCTTCAAACCCCCATTTGTTAAGGCGCGTTGAGAGATACGCCTCTCAGCTGGTTGTTATTCGATTATGCTGGGCAGAGATCGCTGTCGCAAACGCAACCATGAAAGAGTTTTATATAAATGCAGCGCCAAAATGAGCTTAACGATATAACGAGGACAGTATTTTTGGATGCAAAACAAATAAATGAATACATGAAAATTGGGCTAGGTCTGGACCTGAGCTGAATATCTTTGTAAAATGGAACCAGGAACGGAAAAATGGAGGTTTTAGAGAAAGTGCTGAATAGAACTCGCGATTACAAAACCAACGGTTATGAGTTCGATTCTCAGCGTCAGGAAAATCAAACCGTAATAAAATACGATCAACTTATTTGTAGACTTAGTATTAAAAAATCTACGCTTTCAAGATTGCACCACAAACTAACCAAAATAAAGGCGACAAGTTGGGCAAGCTTGGGGTTAGGGAAATTTTTCCCTTTTCCAACTACTTTTTATAATCTGTGGGAGTTTTACTGAAATTATGTTTGTACCCTCAGTCTTATGACAAACTGAGGATATATATCATTTGATACTGTAAAGCCCAACTCTTTATCTTAACCATACCCAACAGAGAAATCTCAATATCAAATTTGAGCATTCCAGCCCTATATCTCTACCCAATGTCAAATTTAGTACCATTTAGTACTTTTCGTACAATTATAGAACATATTTCCGAAACTCCCCATATGAATAGGCTACAAATGAACAGCTACCCTAATACCAAACTTCAGATTTCAAGCCAATATCAAATTGTACCAAATACTATTACTACTAGTACTATTTAGTAATTTTCGTGCATTTGTAGTACACCTTTCCGAAACCACCTCTTTATCACAAATCTACCACCACCAGGGACCCAAATCAAACATTTCCAAATTTCAGCTTCTACGGTTCTCCTTAAAGTAAACTGTTTCAAATTTAGTACCATTTAGTACAGTTCGCACACATTTTCAAAAACCACCTTCAATTTTTAGTGCGTTTTAATACTTTTCGTATTCTTTTAGTGCGAATTTCCGAAAATCCAGATTGACCCTCGTGCAAAATTTCACGATTCTAGGCTTCAGCCTAGATTCTCAATTTTCGCCGGAATTGTTTGAAATTTCGTATTCAAAGTTAATAACGGGTATCACAGCCTGTGACAAAAACAATTTTGTATGCAGTTCCACCTCTTCGTATAGCCCCCATATAACGGTACCTTCCTATATTCGGTATTTTGATGATTTTCGCGAATTTAATAACCGAAATTGTGTAAAATTTTGTATTTGAAGATCCTAAAGGGTACTTCAGTCTAGCCCCCGTATAAAGCTCAACATTTAAACGTTTTTTTTCGGAATTTGTGGACATTTTTCAAGTTCCTTCCAAATGGTAGAGGGTTCGGCCCAGCCCAGCTTAGCTGATTTTTTACTTGTTTAAGGCTTTTCTACGCCTTTTCAGCGACCCTTATTCCAACTTTTAGCTCTATCCGTTTCATGAATACAATGAATTCAATTTTTAGTCCATTTAGTACACTTATAAGGCGAATTTCCAAAAACCCAGTCTTAGCTCTCTCCAACATTGACTCCTACATGAAAAATTTAAAGATTTTAGCTGCAGCCGTTTCGCCGGCCGTTAATATATCAATCAGTCATTAAGGCTTAATTTGGTAATCAAATAGTTTGCTGGGTAGCTATATAAGATTTCCTACGGTGTATAAGATCGAAAATGTTGCCCAGGACGAACTTAAAATCGTTTAGTTTTTAATATTGATATGGCTGTAAAGCTCTCTTTTTCATCAGCACCTCTTGTATTGTAAATGACCTTGTGTTTATTTCCCAAAACCGATTATACTACCCTCCGCACACATGTGTGCACCTTAGCATATTCAGCTGCAACATACACACAACGCGAATGCTATTGACAAGATCTAGCACCAACAAAAGTAAAACTCAATTGTAGGCTAGGAAGGGGCTCTTGTTGGCAAATTCGCTCTGACTAACAGATACCACTTGTAATGAGCGCATTAAGGCTGAGAAGCTGTGCAATGCTACTACTTGAAATGAACAAACCAAGCGAACGAGCGAGCGAAGCCATTGATTGGCAGGCAAGCAAACGGATGGATGGGATAGATGGCTGCGGCTGCTGATATTTTTTCAAAGGAGAATTGAATGGCTGAATGTCTTGCTGGCTGGCTGGATGGTTGGTTAACTGCTGCGCACTCTCATTAAGTCTGGCCAGCCGCAATTGCGACGCTGACCGAGCGAGACGTTCAATTCTATAGAAACTGAAATGAAATTATAAGAGTCATAACTTTGGAACACAATCAAATTCTCTGTGTGTGCTAGAGTCTTACTGGTCTTGTTTCAGTACACCTAGGCTCCAGCAGGCAGCAGTGGATAGAAGAAACAACAAAAACGACTAGAAAACAAAAACTAAAACAGAAAAACAATAAAAACACGCTCAAATGAAATAAATGTTAGTTACTTATGGTTGGAGCTGACTGCGAAGTCGACTGAGCCCCCTAGCCTGCTATGGTTTCTCACAGATTCCAAGCGTTTAGTTGTTGTGAGTAGGTTGTAGATTTTAGCTCGTTGTCCGTGGAGCGCGCGCACCAAGATTCTAGTGGCCGGATCGAAACCCTCGGAATTGATTTTAATTGCAATTTGTGAAACAAAAAATAAAACAAAGAAAAACAAAAACAAACAGAACAGAAGTCAAACTAGCGAGAATTGCTTAACGGGCGCGGCTAGAAAATAAGTCGGTTATACTACTTTCTTAAGAAGCAGAAAAAAAATAAAAAAAAGATTTAAATAAAGAAAAAATAAACAGGAAAAATAAGTGTTCAAAAAAATTTGGAAAAAATATGGGTGCCTAAGAAATCTGTCGTTAGGCTCTTGAAATATTGAAATATTTTTAAATCACAAAGTGTTCCAATACCAGTTCCAAAAAAAAAAGATAAATACTCACCCAACACCATGAAAAAACTCTATGCCAAAACCTCCTTCTCCTCGAAGAATCGCAGTAAATCGGCTAAAAATGAAAACGATCCCCACTCGGCAGATTCTCTCATCAAATATCACGATCCAATTTTGGCATTTCAACCCTCAAAATGTAAAGATGTGAACGGAGATTCTCAGCAAAAATACAAACCTAAACATCCATTTGGTGCTAAACTCCAAAATTTGGAACATTTGCGTAATCCTCAATTTTCCAGCGGGGAAAATTCGAACGTGATTATGCCTGTCGTATCCACATCACCGTATGAAGAGTCACCTTACTATTATACCATAACGGAGTTGGAAAACCTTCAAATGCTGGATCATCGACATCCTCACTTTCATCATCATCACAATCCACAGCATCATCTGAAGATGCAACAGATGCATGCTGGCGGCAAGGTCTATCATCAGCACAGTCAATTGGTCTTACAGCTACCCAGTGTTACGTCGACATCGACAACAGAAGACAATTTTGCCTGCGACACCATAGATTCTCCCATGACCAGTTGTGGACAACAGCAACAACAACAACAACGTTTGCTATCTTCACCACCCATCTATGAAGCACCACAAATGAATTCATCATCATCGTCGTCCGGTGCATCTTCTCTATTGTCGCGCTCATCTTCGAACTTGTCCTCACCCACAGCCACCATAAAATCAACCGCCATGGGTCTAAGAAGGCAAACCTCATTGTCGGCGGCAACGGCAACAACACCACCACCGCCCCCGCACCAATACCACTATGACCCATATGATGCCAGCATTCAGCATCATCAAATGTCGTATCAAACGCAGCATCATAGCCAGCAACAGAGCCTGAGCCAGAGTCGCCAACAGCTGCAGTTATCTCCAACGTCGCCGCCGCGTGATAATTTGTCGCCTAATGGGGATTTTATGAATAACTCGATATCGCCAACATTATCTGTGTATGTTTTTTGCATTATAATTTATTCTCTCTCCATCTCTATTACTGTTCTAATTTATTTATTATTTGAGTCATTTTTTTATTATTAGAATGCCCTGGTCATGGTAATGGTCAGCTATGGAAATTTTAGGAAAAAATTGAAAATTATTAAAATTATTCAAAATCTCAAAATCTCAAAATATTTTCCCGAGACCCTAACAAAATACATTTGTTATTATTGATCATCACAAAATTCTCTGTATGGGCGATTGGGGTGAGGTTAAAAAAAGCTGCGAAAAGGTCAAACGCCACAATTTTTACATTTTTTTGTAATTTTATTCCATGAAAGCAAAAAGGTCGGAAATAGGATTAAATTTTAGAATAAGTTTAGATTTGTTCGAATTGGTAACCTTTGGCACGAATTATAGCCTTTGAACAGCCAATGAAACCGTCACACACTGCCCAAATGTTGTTCTGTGGTATTTTGGCCCATTCCCGGCGAGCGCTTGCTTGAGGTCGACATCGACACTTTGGTATTTTTTTGTGCCAACCTTGCTTTCCTAAATACTCCAGACACAATAGTCCAACGGATTGGTATACGGAGATTTTAGTGGCCATTGTGCGCTGGAAATGAAGCGAGGAACCTCATTTTCTAACCATTCTTGGGTGGCGCGTGCCGAGTGCAATGGCGTTGAGTCCTGTTGGAATGTCCAAGGTCTGCGGCCAAAATGTTTGCGTGCCCAAGGCTTTGATACACCCTCCCAAATATTTTCGCTATAATATTCGGCATTTATTCTGATGCCACGGTCAATTAATACGAGCGAAGAGCGACCATCGGCTGTTATGGCGGCCCACAGCAACACCATGGCCGGCGCTTGAGTTCTGGTGGCCAACGGAAGGTGCACATTTTCAGCTGACCTCTTTGGCATAGTAAACACGATCATTTTGTTTGTTTACAAACTGCTGGACAACGAATGTTTTCTCATCGGAGAAAACCAAATTCGACAGTTCACCACTTTCGGCCATGCGAAGCAACTCTTTAGCTCTTTTGAGTCTATTTTCTTTCAGTTGCGGTATAAGTTCTTGCACTTTTTGGAATTTTAATGGCTTTACCTCGAGCTCATTTTTCAATATTTGCCAAATGGAATATTGCGATATGTTCAGCTCACGAGCCATTTTTCGGCCACTGCGACGCGCTTTTGAGATCACGTCGCTTCTTTACTTTTCGAACCATTTCTGCTGATGTTGCTGTTTTCTTCCGTCCACTTCCTTGACGTCGGGCTATGATACCAGTATCAGTATCACGGTAACGAGCGATGGTACGACACACAAAAGATTTATTCTCATTTAAATGCTGGAGTGCTCTAACGATAGCCACTTTCGGGTTTCCAGCCAAATATAAAGAAATCATACTATCACGCTTGAATTCCATCACGAATAACTTTTTTTCTGGAAAATTCTTACCAAAATGCTTTTGTACGTTTGTAAACAATATAAACAATGATCTGTCACTGGAATAATTTTAACAGCTGTCGGACGAGAGGCTTAGAAATGACAGCAGTCTGAAGGAGCCGAGTTCCACCAAATGGAAACGTACGTCCCGAAATTCGCTCCATCTGGGCAGGTAACAGTCATTATTTCCACAATAAACCTGAATTCGGATTAAGGATATATATGGGAGCTTTATCCAAATCTGAACCGATCTTGATACAATTTGGCAGAGGTATTTCTGGGCTGTATCTGATAGCTGGTACCATATATCATTGTTGTCGAATGCATTTTACGAATGTAAGGGACTTAAACGCCAAATCGGATAAAACATATATATGAGAGCTATATCTATATCTTAACCGATTTTCACCAAATTTGATGTACTTGCTTCTAGACTGAATTCGGTCGGATGCGCCAAAATGCGAATTAATTTGACTGATTTTGGCCATTTTGTGCACAATGAACCCGAAATCGGTGGAAGATATATGGGAGCTACATTCAAATCTGAATCGATCTTTATAAATTTTGGCAGAAGTTTTTCTGGGCTGTATCTGATATGTGGTACCATATATCATTCTTATGGGGTGCATATTACGAATGTAAGGGACTCAAAGACCAAATCGGATGAAACATATATATGGGAGCTATAGCTATATTTGAACCGATTTTGAACCAAATTTGATGTACTTGTACTTCTAGTCTGAATTCGGTTTTATGTGCCAAAATACAGGGCATTTGGACTTATATTGGTCATTTGGTAGACAATTTACCCGAAATCGGTTGAAGATATATATAAGAGCTATATCCAAATCTGAAGCGATTTTGATACAATTTGACAGAGGAATTTCAGGCCTGTATGTGATATCTGGTACCAAATTTTATTGTTGTCGAATGCATATTACGAATGTGGGGGACATATTACGCATGTGAGGGAGTTAAATACCAAATCGGATGAAACACATATATGAGAGCTATAGCTATATCTTTAACCGGTTTTTTTTTTTTTTAGCAAATTTGATGTACTTGCTTCTGAGTGGAATTCAGTCAGATGTGCCAAAATGCAGGACTTTTGGAGTGATATTAGACATTTGGTGCACTGCTAACCGGAAATTGGCTAAAGATATATATGGGATCTATATCCAAATCTGAACCTCCAAGTCTGAATGGAATCGGATGTTTACTTCGCGTTTTATACGCTTCATGGATATTCAAAATATTGAATCTTTGTGTGGGGGAGGTGCCAGAAGGAGTGGTCCGATATATCCCATCTTCACAGCAGATCTTGCGTTAGTAGAAATAATGGGATATGTGTAATATGATTAGAACCGGATGCTTATTTCGGATATTATAGTCGTTTTGGTTATTGAAAACTTTGACCTCTAGTGGGGAAGCTGCCACAAGGAATGACCCGATCTCTTCCATCCTTTTAAAATATCTTATGTTGATAGAAATATTGAGATGTGTCAAGTCTGAATGGAATTGGATGTTAATTTCGGGTTTTATGAACTTCATGGTTGTTCAAATTTTTGACCCTTTGTAGGGGAGCTACCAGAAGGAGTGGACCGATATATCCCAACTTCACAGCAGATCTTGTGTTAGTAGAAATAATGGCATATGTGAAATATGAAGAGAACCGGATGCTTATTTCGGATTTTATAATCGTTTTGGTTCTTCAAAACGTTGACCCATTATGGGAAGTTACTAGAAGGATTGGACCGATATATTCCACCTTTACACCAAAGGTTTAATAATAATATTGTGATGTGTGTAATTTGAAGGTAATCGGACTCTTACATCACATTTTGAAAGAGTTATAATTAATAAAAATGTTGACCCTTTGTGGGGGAGGTATGTGATGGAGTGGACCCATATTATCCATTCTCGCCCCTGACGTAGCACTGATGCAAATATTAGGATTCGCAAAGGTGGAGCAAAATCGGATTTCTGTGTAGTAAATTATTTTCTTTGAAAATTTTGACATTTTGTGGTAAAGGTACCAGAATGAGTGGACCGATATTGCCCTTCTCCGAACTCGATCTAAGTTTGATAATAATATTACGAGTCCCAGGTTTGAACCAAATCGGATACTCCCTTCGAGAGTTATTGTGCACACCAGCCTGACAGACAGACGGACGTATGGACATTGCTAGATCGACTCCAAATGTCCTGAAACGGATTTGTTCCAAAGAGATCTAGGGTCTAAAGCCACTATTTCTATGAGGCACGTTTTGGCCGTATCAAATTATATATACCCTCTCTAGTCATATGGCTGAGGCTTTAATTATTCTAATTACTTAAAAAAGGTGAGAGAGTTCGCCTCCTGTCATTACATTCTCCTTTTAATTATCTCCCTTAAATATAGCATCATATCTAGTCGATCTTGACCGAAATTCGCCATAAGTCATGTGGTGGTGGTCACTTTGCTTGTTATTGACAGTTGGTGTCTTTTTCCATTTCTAGCCTAGAGTTCGGCGTCCACACACAAGCCAATCTAAAATCAACCATACAGTGTGGCCTATTCTACGAGTCTGGCTGGCCGGCTATCCGGCTGTCTGGTTGCCCTTTTGCATTCATTTCATTAAACAACTTGTCGAAGAGTTTTCAGTTTCTATCTAAAGTTGTTGGTGTTGTTGTTGTCTTTTTTTAATTTGTGTGGGTTACGAATGAATTGCGATGTTGTTTTCCTTTCGCTGTTTTTCTGCTGTTGTTGTTGACCAGACAACAACTTATGCTGATGATGTTATTGTTATTGTTGTTGTTGGCTTGCCATTGTCGGTTCTTCTCTCTTGTTTTGTGTCAATCGCCCCAGCAGCAGCAGCAGTATTAGGTTATTGGTATTATTGCCATTGATGCTGCGTGTTGACGCGTCCATTGTGTTTTCGCCTTGAATAATCGCCCAGATCAACGAGTGTTGCAAATTTATGTTTATTATTATTGTTGTTGTAGTTGTCGCACTCTTTGTATTATCTAAAATAGTTCAGTGACTTGTCACTTTTTTGTTCTCCAATAGCAGCGTGCGTGAAGTTTTTTTTTTGGATTGTCTTTTTCTTATCATTTCATTCGAAGTTATGGCCAGAATTTTTTCGTGTTCTTCGTTACGATTGCCCATGATTATGATCATGCAAAACAATTCGATACGAATTGTTTGTTTAGGCGTGTGGAGATTTTCATATTTTACTTTCAGATTTTTTCGAAAAAAAACAAGTGGGTATTTAATGACAGACAGAGGTCAGGCCATAAATTTCAGGGCAATAAATTCTTATTTTGGACATGAGTACAAAATTTTCTCAAATAAAAATCAAGAGGAAAGTTCAGCAACCCTTTGAGATCTCTCGAAATTCCAATGGGATTTTTTTTGGTCAAATAACCAATTATCTCCAAGTGACCTTAACATTGACCCCCGACTAATTTCGTTCATATTTGACTTAATTTAAATAAGTCTAATTACAAAAAAAGTTTACTCCCTATTATTCCTATCTCTGCGTGGGCTTATTTTGTGATTCTCACAAAGAAGATCTCATACAAATCATG